TTTTGGACTTTTCTTCCAACTCGGCAACTGCGGCACTTGACGCCACGAGAACATAAAAATGCTTTTCAGCACTCGAAATGATGATGACTGCGACTCGGCGGCGAACCGACGGACCCCGCCCCCCGCCTTGTTCGGCTAAACTACTCCAGTCAAAATAGCATTTTAATAGACGCAACAGCAACAGCAACAGCAACTACAACAGCACAGCAACTGCAACTGCAACAATAACAGCTCGACACGACGACCCAAAGCAAAAGCCAAAGTTGCAGCCAAGCCAGTGAACATGTGAAAATACTTTGGCTCCGGCGGAGATGAAGCGACGAAGGAATTGCCAGCACACGCTTTTCTAATTTAAGAACCTTTCGCTGCATGTCCAGAAATTTGACATCAACTTGCCGTTGCCGCTGCTTTGGCCAAATGTTATCTAAGCCGCAAAACGGAATCCAGTTAGCTGCGTCGTCAGTCGGAAGAGCAAACAAAGGCGGCCCAGAAGGGGGGATCTACTTGAGCACTTGACTTGCCCCATTTGCTGGCGGGGTGGGTGTTGCTGCTGCTGCTGCTGCTACTCTTGATGTTGCTGGTGTAATGAGCAACCACTGCAACTGTTGCTGCTGTGGCTGCTGGCAAGTCAAGTGCCCATCATGACAGCTGCGAAAACGCGGCTAGACGAAGATGATTTATAATTGTCATAGACTTCCTGGTTTTGTTGTTTGAACGGGGGATGAGTGAGAAGCCGAGCACTGGCAACCTGCCAGACAGCACGATCATATTCATATCCATGGCAGATACATTTCAGCACCTGCTCCATCTGATGATCCTCAGCAACGCAGACGAGCCTTTGGTGAAGGAGAATTCGCACCTCTAACATGATGGCGTTTGATAGGTTCAGTTATCAGTGGGAAAAGTATTACTTAAGTTATATATTCCCACATTTTATTGGTTTGAACACAGAAAACAAGCATTGCGTCCATTGTTAAATAAATGATGCTCATAAAAACAGTTTATAAAATCCATTATAAGTAATTAATCAGATAATGCGCTTAGCTTACTTACCTTTCAATAAAAGCTCTAGTCATTTTTGTGTGACCTGCACTGGGTGAGTGTTAATGCAAGTGACTCACAGTGCGACAGTATACTCTAATTATTTTTTAATGATATATTTTATAAACTGTACATGAATCGCCATCACACCAGAGGTGCAATCAAACCCATTTGTAGCTTGTTCCCGGATTCATGCGAATCCGGACCCAAATAAGCACAGAAAGCTCAGTGGCTCCTTTGCCTGGGAGCCGCAGTTCCGCATCCAACAATAGCCACAGCAAATGGCCAAGAGAGGCAGCCGACTTATGCAACTCAAGTCGGCCAGGCAATGGCGGGCAATTAATTTAATTGCAAACGGCATGAGAGCTCGCCACGCCCTGAATTTATTTTAATTAGCCCGATATTCGCTTCATTATATTTACATACATCAACTGCAGCTCCGGCGAGTCAGCGGAGCGAAGCGCTGCCCAGAAATAGTTCGGTCTAATAAGTGGCATTTATAATTTTATTGACTGCCAGGCCAACCCAGCGAAAAATATAAATAAGAAAAAAATAGTAAAGCGAGTCAACGGCGACAGCTCAGCGGAGGAAAAAAGATAGTGGAGCGATCCGATCGATGACGGCGAGTTCTGAGATTCGGTTTTGAAATCCACTGCAGCAGAAGAGCCGCGGGCTGTGAAAAATTTGGACATATGCAAGCCTTGCTTTTTTAGCCGGGGTCGATACTAAATTTTTCGACATTAGTTGGCAATTTTTGTGTATTTTTTTTTTTTTTGTATGTGCCCAAAGCTGTCACGCCGACAGAAGGACAGAGAAAAATAGAGAAATGTGATAAATTTTGTTTGTGATAAAGAACTTTAAATGCACTTACTTTAAAATATATTACAAGAGGTGAAATTGTCGGTACTATTTGGATCTGTGATGCTCCTTTCTAAAATATTAAATATAAAAAAAGAAAAACAATATTTTCAATTTTATATATATTTTTTTAATAGTTCTCGTTTAATTTTTCTTGTATTTATATTTAATTTACTCGAAATTAGTGCTCGTTTTTATTAAGCTAATAATTATAAATTTATCTAATGTCATAACGCTTGCTAGAACCTAAGAAGAGACTCATTTTTCCTGGAATTTAAATCAAAACCCAACAAGATTTGAACTGACCCTAGGAGATAGAGTATAAACACCCGAGAGCCCCAACACATTTGCCACATTTTGACTTCTCGTCGTCTGAGGGCGCTGTTTGTTCCGCTGGCCGAGCAATGTTTGCTAAACAGGCACACTTCGAGCCGGATCGGATCTGGGGTGGCCTGGCCAGCCGGATCGGATCGGATCGGACTGGGGCTGGAATGGCCCCAGACCCTGACATATTCCTCGTTGACGGCGCACGACTTGGTCCTAGGACGACGGACTATTTCCCGGAGCTGATCCGAGGCGGATCGAGGGCATCATTATGATGTGGCTGTGACGGGTGACGGGCTCTCGGGAGGGGCTGCGCTTGCCACCAGCATTTGCAACATTTTCATTTTCGTTGACTGTCATGTGGCACATTTATCGGAAAGTGCCCACTGACATTTGGCCAGCCACTTGAACTGGGTTAGCCGGAGCTGCAGCTCCACGCTCATTAAGTGTATTTGTTGCGAAAAAAAAAAATAGGGAAAAATTGTGGCTCGCCCCCGGGGCATCTTTTGGAGTTCGTAATCCGGATTTCTCAATACGCAATTCCGTGGGAGATTTCCCCGATTGGATTGGGCAATGGATCGGAATCGGATCAATCAGAATGGGCAATTACAGGCCGATCGAGTCGCAGGGCGGTCCGGGCCCTAATGAGCGCCGGCCGCTAATTATGTTTTTAATGAGCTGGCAAATCAATTAGCGCCCGCAGCCGGCTAACAAATGGGGCTACAAATGAGCCCGGCCCAGACCAAATCGCTTTGGTTTTGACAATTGCAGCCGAACTACGCCCAAACGCGGACCCCAATCTCTGATGTAATCTGGCCAATTGGCGTCGTTGGCCTGAAATATGTTTTATCGCATTTATTATCAGCTGCACCAAATCGTCTATAATTGAAAAACTGTTAACTAGATTAGCTGCCATTAGATCGGGCGTTGGGGGCCAGCCAGGCCAGACCTGCGTCGCTCCGGATCCAGATTCATATCCAGTTTGTGGCCATTTAGCCGGTCCGCGGTGGGAGATAAGTCCCGCCATTCCGCCGACCAGGCCGTAATCGACTTGGCCAAAATGGCGCTGACCAGGTTCATAAATAAACTGCGGCTGCCCCAAAGGGACATGCCATCCATTCTCCGTTTTCGAATTTTGTTTATTTATTTAAGTGCCTCCAAATCAGCCTTTTGCTGGCTGCTCTTTGAAATCTAATTAAGTTGTTTAAGTGGAATTTGTGGCCATAAAATTATGCAAATCTCTGTGCGCCACCGCACTTCACCCCACTGCCACTCGATAGACACTTTGCGGATGCATATTTGCATTGGTAATTTGCACGCCAAAAGCCCACAAGGCCTCGGGGGCCCGCGACTCTGGGCTCGTAAATCATAAGTGGGTGAGTTACGGTCCGTGGCTTTTGTTTAGCTAAGCACCGTACAAAATTGAGAACTATTTCGGATAAGGATTTTGATTTTCATTAAATATACTATGCAGACATATCCTTGTATGTTTCGAGATTTTTTTTTTTTTTAATATTAAAAACAAAGTTAGCTTTATTTCTAAATAAATACTACTGCTTATGAGCCACAAAATGGGTTTTTATTTCTTTCTTAGGCCTAGCTTCTCTATATCATTTCTAAAGAGTGAGAAAGTTTGACTGCAGACAAGTTCTCAGGCTTGTGGAAAGCCCTGAAATGTGGTCATCAAATTCGTTTTTTATTTGCCACTCCACATGGCTGCTCGGGCATCGTTTGGTGCCCACACAGGCGCATAAAGATGTCAACGCTTAACTTATCAAGCGCACAAACACGAGGCCCAAACGCCAACGGCTCGGATGAGTGCGACATCGTTGTTAATACAATAAAACCACTGTAATTTCTGCCTCGGTCTGGGGTTTATTTTCGTGTCTCACAGAATACAAGTAGCGCCCACCGCTGACCGTTTATCAAACAACAATAAACTGTAATTTATGAAAAATGCCTGTAAAATGACGATAAAACAAGTGCCACGACCACGACGACACCGCCGAAATGAAAATGATAATGATGATGATGATGACATGGACATGGCTGCCAGTCTTGTGCGGAGCCAGCAAGTGCCGGTGTGCAGTGCATTTGAGCATCTGCCGCATCTGCAGTGGGTGTGCTCAGTGCGCAGCGAAGTGGCCAAGAGACACAACAATTCATTTGACCGGCATGCCAGTCGGGGGTCGTGGGGGGTGAGGGTTCGCGGGTTCCCGGGTTCGCCGATCCCCAGCTGCATCTTCACATTTGGCCCGGGCACCTGACCATTGTCAACACGCTGGTTGCTTGTTTGGATCGCCAGCAATTGCATTTGCATTCAGCAGATTCACCGACATTGGGGTATATTGGTTGACAGGATTTTATTTATAAGCTGAAGATATCATAGGTTTATGTCAAACTAATACATTAGATCTAAAAATAAATTATTACATGATCGAAAATTTAAATAACATTCTCTCCAAGTCCTGAATTTAATACAGGATACCAGATGGTCGAGAACCCTCCACTGCCAGCATTCTCATGTGTTTATTTGGGTCACTCTGGCGACAGGTCAGACATGCCACTACTTTGTGCGTCGCAACTTTTGCTTTCCAGCGTTGGCGCGAGCTCCTTTGTATTGTGCTCTGTGTTTGCATTTAAAATGAGGGCCCGAAAGGGTTCTGCAAGTCAGCCCTTAAAAGCGCTGACACTTCCAAAATTGCCCGCAACAAAGAAGGCCAAGCCTTAAAAGCTGGGCCCAACCCTTCCACGGGCCACTAGTGTGCTATTCAAACATGTGGCAGCAAGTGGAGTTGGCAGAGACCCCGAATTGGGCAGGAGCTATAGCTCTCCAGCGCTTTTGGACGCACCTGAGGACTGAGCTCCAGTTACGGACCTTGCTTTACTACCGCTTAAACTCCTGTGAATGTTGGTTCGATAGACTTCTAGGAAGTGATAACTATACCGCATTATTGTGGAATGATCAGGAATACCCACACTTCCTGAGGCCCCGACAGGACTTGGATATATTGGGAGTGGCTTGCCTGAAAGCATCACAGCACAAGGAAGTTCTGAGCGCCTTGAGCCTAATGCTTGACCAAATTCGCAGCATGCCCGTGGTCTTACAGCTCTGTGAAGAAGAAGATGACCCAAGTCCGGATCTGGGTCCTGCAGGGTTAATATTCCGGCTAAGTGTGGAGCTTCAGCTGTTAAATGTGTTGCTGCTACCCTGGAACTTTTTTAGGTCGAGAGCATTTTACGCCTACGAACTATTTCCAAAAGTTGAAATTATAAAACACATTTATGATAAACATCTCACTTTATTTCCCTTTAAACTGGGAGACCTCAAAGGACATGCCATACAAACAACGCCAGATAACTCCGAGCCGCATACCATAGTGGAAAAAGCCCTGAATGGGACATTTATCATATCCGGACCCGTGTGGCAGTTTTTGCAGGAATTTGTGCGACATATAAATGGCAGCCTGCACCTTTCAAGTGAGCCTGTTATAGGACAGACTCTGCGATATACCCAGGTACTGGACTTGGTGCGCAACGGTACTGTGGAAATCGCTGCCAGCTTGAGACCCCACGTTCGCTTGCAGAGCGATAACATGCATGTATTTAGCTATCCCTTGGTGTTGGGCGATTGGTGTACGATGCTGCCCATGGAAAGGGTCTTGAGCACTAACGAAGCCCTCACGCGACTGATGCAATCACCAATTACGTGGCTTTACCTGGTGCTGCTTTACGCCGTGCACTGCCTTGTGTCCCGAATAGAGTACCTCTGGCATCGGCTGTTTCACCTTAAGAAGCTCCTGATCCACCTGGCGCTGATCTGCTTTCTGCAAGCCCAACTTTCATCGTTCTTCATCGGTCCCCAGCAGGAGAATCACATTACCGACATGAAACAGCTTGAAAAGTCTGGCCTGCGCATCATGGGTCTCCGCCGGGAGTTTTATGACTATCCCATAGATATGCGGAGCAGGTACGCATCCTCGTTCCTGCTGCAGGATGTATTCATTGACATGGCCAAGCACAGGAATAAATTCAACAGCACCTATGGGTACACAGTGACTTCTGTCAAGTGGCAATTGTACAGTGAGGCCCAGAAGCACTTCCGGCGACCTCTGTTCCGATACTCCCAGGACATTTGCGTGCAGAAGCTGTCCCTCTTTTCGCTAATTTTAAAGAATAATTGCCTGTACCGCTACCAGATGAAGGCATTTATACTGCGCTTACACGAGGCAGGGCTTGTACACTACTGGTACGTCCGCTCCTTCTACGTTATGGTCAAGGCTGGTCGTCTTCACTTCGAGGACCTGAGCACTTCCCGGCAGGTCCAACCGATACGGTGGTCGGAATGGCAGTACATGCTGGCTCTGTATGGAGCGGGACTCATGGTTTCGTTTGTGGTCATCGTTATTGAGCTCACCATTCACTATGTCAATGTTTGGCTACACAACCTGTGAGCACATGCGTATTAATTAGACAAATTCCTAGTACAAATAATGTTCAAACTAAGCTAGGAAAATAAAATACAAAATGATATATTATCCCTATGAGAACTTATGAACATTGTCAGTCTGCTGAAATGTCACCACGCAGCAGTAGTCTGCATACGAACCTTGTAGGACTAATAAGTCGTAATCATGATTTGACCAGCGTTTTCTTTTTCGCACCGTTACTGGAAAAATGTCGTCTAGAAGAGACACTCTCATCGGCTTTTCTGCAACTGCCTTGGGTGATATGGCGCTCGGAAAGTACTCTTATCCTAAATGAAATCCTCGGCGAAGGACTATTGGTGCTGGCCTGCCTTCCAGGACAACGCTGGAGAAATGCTTTGAGTAACCTCTCCCAAAATATGAGGTTTCTACGACAGGCTAGACTACTAATTGAACTAGATGTTGGAACAAACGACCTTTTAGCTCATCAGGTACTTGAATTTTGTCAAAGCCAAGACATGATTAATACCATTGCCATTTTTGATGATTTTGCGGAGACCCAAACAGTGTTCAGCTTTGAGTCCTTTCCAAAGTTCGAAATGCTAAGAAACTTCTTTACGGAAAACACTCAAGTTACAAGTCTTTACCCATACAAGATGTTGAACCTACACGGCTCCAAGATTCGCACCATGCCAGACTACTCCGAACCGAATACCATTTTATACAAGGATAAACAAGGTAATAAGAAGATCTTGGGATATTTGTGGGACATGCTAGAGGCCTATGCCCGCAAATATAATGCACAACTTCAAATCGTCAATAAGGGCGTTGATGAAAGGCCTCTTAACTTGAAAGAGGCTTTCGATTTTGCAAAAAATGGTATTATAGATGTCGGTGCCAGTATCCAACCAATGGTGATGGGTCGACAGAACCGTTTCCGCGAGCTTTCCTATCCGGTGGACTTGTCTAGTTGGTGCACCATGCTGCCTGTGGAAAGGGACCTTCAGGTATCCGAACTACTTGCGAGGCTGTTGCCTCTACCAACACTTTTGCTACTGGCGGTTTTGTGGATCTGCTACGAGGCGCTACGAGGAAGGTGGCGCCATCATAAAAGGCTTCAAAATATTGGGTGGCTCCTTATGGTTACGGTGCTTAGCTCTAACTACTTGGGAAAACTACTCAGCCTCTTAGCAGACCCTCCATCCGTGGCACCCATAGACAGCCTGGCAGTTATGATTGAGTCCCCGATTCGCATATACTTTGTAAGCGCCGAATACACTGATCTGGATTTTACCAAGCGCACAAAATACTCTGCTGCATTCCGGCTCACGACGACTTCCAAGGATATAATAGAAATGCGAAACTCGCTGAACACATCCTTTGCATATTCCGTCACCAGCGCCAAGTGGAAGCTATACGAGGAGCAGCAGAAGCGCAGCTCGAGACCACTGTTTCGGTACTCCACCTCTCCGGATCTGTGCTTCTATGAAATGTTTCCCTTCGGTCTGGTCATTCCGGAGAACTCTGTCCACCGAGCCCCCCTGCATCACACCACCCTGCAGCTGTGGCAGTCAGGACTATATAATTTGTGGATGTCAAGGAGCTTCTTTTATATGGTGAAGGCAGGGAAGATAAGCTTTTCCAACTTGAGGGGCCTTTATCAGGCCAACACCTTAAGTGTAATGGATTTGCGGAAAATATTTTTGATGTACGGTGCAGGAATGCTTTGTAGCCTGACTTTATTTATCAGCGAGGTGATTGTCGGCTGTGTGAAGCTCTGGCTGGGATTTTACTAACTCTTAGTGTTTTTCCATAAATATATATGTATCGCTAAGCCACCTTAAAATAAAAGAGAAAACATTGGTTAAAACTATATTTTTTTTAAATATAATATATAATAGCATAATGTATGTTTCACTTTATACCGTTGTTAAAGTACTGCATTAATAAGTATTTTCGGCACTCACAATATATTATTTATTCACGATACTATCATCTAATGCAATGTCGCCTAAGTATTCCGTTTGCTCGCAGGAAGGGTATTCCCTTTCAAAGGATATCTCACCATTCCCGTCCGGCTCACTGACATAAATGTTGATTTTTGGGTGGGACGTCAATGAGCTCTTTGTATAGTGTCCCTTTTAGCGTCACATTTTATGAGCCGGTCAAACCTGTCACAGAAGTAAATAAAAACCATGACAAAAGTCCATTTCCGGAAACTTCAAGAAAGGTTTTTGTTTGGCTAATAAAGTTGAGTGCGTGGAAAGGCAAAATAAAGCTAATAGAACGTCAAATTTAGTATTGAGTCATCATCATACTGAACTGCGACGTTGTCAGTCCACTAAAATGTCTCAATTCAGTATACACACTGATCTGGTGTCGCGGATAAGTCGCGGTCAAGATCTTAACAGTATTTTCTTTTACTCACCCACGGAAGGAAAATGCCTTCTCGAAGGCACACTCTCGGTTGCAACCTCGGGACTACCACTAGTGACATGGTACTCGGAAATGACTTTGGTCCTGAATGGATTCCTTGGCGAGGGAACATTGGTCTTAGCCTGTCTGCCAGGACTTCGATGGCGCGATTTACTGAGCAGTCTTTCTAAAAGCCTGAAGTATCTCAGACAGGTCAAAATACTTATTGAACTGGAAGGAGATAGAGACGATATACTTGTTCGTCAGGTGCTTGAATTTTGTCAGAGCCAAGACATGATCAATGTCAATGTTATTTTCGGTGATTTTATCATAACTCAAGCGGTATACTCCTTCGAGGCCTACCCAGAATTCGAAATGGTGAGCCAGATTTTCGCAGAAGACTCTCAAGTATTTAGTCTTTACCCGGACAAGATGTCTGACCTCCGCGGTGGTCCCATCCGCACCATGCCGGACTACTCCGAGCCAAATACCATTCTCTACGAAGACAAGCAGGGCAACAGACAGATCCTAGGCTACCTATGGGACGTAATGGAGGCGTATGCCCGTAAACACAATGCCCGATTGCAGGTGGTCAATAAGTATGCGGATGACAGGTCCCTAAACTTTATCGAGGTCTTGGACGTGGGTCGAAGCGGCATTGTCGATGTGGCCGCCAGCATTCAGCCAATGTCAATGGGCGTACAGGACCGCTACCACGAGATGTCCTACCCGGTAGACTTGACCAGCTGGTGCACCATGCTGCCAGTGGAGCGCGACCTCGATGTGTCAGAGTTGCTCTCCAGGGTGATGCCGTACCGCACCTTTGGCTTTCTGGTATTGCTATGGATTTGCTACGAAGTACTGCGTGGACGTTGGAGACGGCATCAGAGGCTCCAGAAGATCGGCTGGCTGGTGTTGGCCACGATGCTAAGCTCCAACTACTTGGGCAGACTGTTCACCTTTCTCTCCAATCCTCCCTCCGTGCCTCCGATCGACAGTTTGGCGGCCCTGATCGAGTCCCCGGTGCGCATCTTCTCCATTCGCACTGAGTACTCCTCTATCGAGTTCACCAAGCGCACCAAGTACTCAGCGGCATTTCGACTGACCTATAAACAATCTGACCTCATAGCGAAGCGTAACTCAATGAACACCTCCTTTGGCTACACCATCACCAACACAAAGTGGAAACTCTTTGAGGAGCAGCAGAAGCGCAGCTCAAGGCCTCTCTTTAGGTACTCTACGTCGCAGGACCTGTGCTTCTACGAGATGGTGCCCTTTGGCTTTGTCATTCCGGAGAACAGTCCCCATCGCACCACCATGCATCACTTTTCCCTGCAGCTGCGGGAGTCGGGATTGTTCGATCTATGGGTATCTCGGGGCTTTTCCTATATGGTAAGGGCGGGAAAGATGCACTTTGCCGACCTGAGGATGCGATACCGGGCCGAGACCTTGAATATAACGGATTTAAGAAATGTATTTATGGTATTCGGCGTTGGTGCTGTGGTCAGCATAACTCTCTTTGCCTGTGAACTGATTGCCAACTGGATAAAGTTATGGCTGGGTTTTTAATTTTTAAGTTAAATAAATCTATAAATATACTGTTAAAAGGACACATGAAGAAAATAAAATCCACTTTAGTGTTATGGTATTGGGGTGCTAATTAGCATGTGTTTGTTTGCCTTTGAACTGTCTGTCAGCTGTGTGCCGTTATGGCTGGGTATTAATTGTCCTTGCAGCAATTACGGCGATGGTGTTCGATAAAACCACCCCGTTCCAGTAAACACATCGTGGGAGTCCCCCAGCAAATAGAGACAAGCCGGGACAAACGAATAGAAACTTTGGTTTTTACTTCGTGACGGTGACTACGGTTCCAGTGTTCCCGATTCGGAATGCGAGATAGAAGTTAACAATGCTGTTGAATGGGCGCCTACCGTCTTACACCTTCGAGTTTGATTATTTGCCCTGCGAGAGCAAATAAAATAAATGCAAATTGCCTCCTACGAATAGTTACCGCAGAGGCACGACAGGCACCTCGAAATGAGACCCCAATCGAGGGGAGATGAACCACTCCACCGACAACCGCAGCAGATCCGGCAAATTATTTAAGAGCCTTGGCAGCAAACACCAGCAAATTGTGGCCTAGTGGCTGAGTTGGGGAATTACGGGGGAATTCTATGTTAGACATCTGCTTCTTGCCTGTTGGTAGGACAACGCAAAATCTGTCTGAGTCTGAGTTGCTGGCCTGTTTTGATTAACATAAGCGAATAATAGACTTCGACTGCCAGCAACGTGAACAAATTTGAATTCACGATTTTGCACTATTTACCCAAAGAAGCCAACACCTGCAACTGCAACATGGGCAACCTTTTTTGGTTTTGTCATTTTGACAGCTGAAGATGCATTTGCACTTCGTTTCGGCTGCTTTCAATGATGTGTTGCAACATTACACATCTCAATTTCAAATGAAGTCTTGTTAGGGGCTCAGCCACAAATGAATCGGCTGATTGGGAAAACCATTGGGTAAATGAATTGGCCCAGTTAGCTCTCATTTATTTTTGGGATTTTCCTGCACCAGCCGTTGAAAATCGATGTCTAGATTTGGGTCTTGGGTTGCGACAATTGGCACGCTGAGAGCAATTTATGACACACAAGAAGCGCCACGATTTGGTTGACAAATTTCCCCAAACACGAAGCTCGGAGAATGAATTATGTGGCCGTGATCGACTGGAAAACAAAGCCAGAACCGCCGATCGCGAGGGCCAAGACCCCCACGATATGTGAGAGAATTTCCCGAGACAATTCGTGCCCGGGTAAGTGCCGCCAGCAGTTGACCCGAGAGTTGGCAATCCGAGTCGCGGGAGGCTGCCTATAATATGCTGCAAATTATTAAACGATCTGTCCCACCGAAGGTCAGCCAAGTAGAAAACACGCGTGCGCGGCCGCAAAACTTTCTCCGCAAGACGGATGCGAGGGTGTTGTCAGCTGCCATGAAGGATCAGGCTTAAGTCAGCCTCGACCATAAAACCCGATGGCTGGCCAAAGAAACGCCGCCTTAACTTTGAATGGCAGCCGAAACAAGTCGGGAGCCGCTAGCGTCAGCACCGAGCAGTGTAGACCCTTTCAGGCAGATCTCCATTGGGGAAAAATGTTTTCATAATTTATAATTTTTACTTACAGAACTAAGTAAATAAATGTTAATAATGTGGAATAATTGATGTTACCGATATAGTAATTTTTACCCCTAAGAAATATAGTATTTCAGCAGAGCAAACTTCCCTTTGGCAGGGCAAACATATGAAGTCAAAAATATTTCGGCTTAAAAATTCTACAGCTGCAGCTGGCCCTCTGGGTTTGGCCTGTCGTATTTTCTCTCTGTTTCTCTGGTTTTATTTCGCTGCATTTTGTTTTGTTTTTGCCTGCATTGCGGTTGCCTTGCCCACAAGTTAAAAGGTCAGGAATTTATGGATTTTACATGGCTGCAGAGACATTTCCAGATACGACCAGTCGTAACTTTGGCAAACTGCGACTTGCCATGAACCCTTACTGTTCCGTTGGGAGCTCATATGCGTCGCTCTGATAATAGGTCAGTAAGCTTTTGATTTTCGCCTCGCAATTGTTCCGCGTAATTACGTGCGATAAGCTCTGATAGGCGCTTTAATTTCCAAAGCAAACACTGCTGGACGGGGAAATGCTAGCAGTCCTGGGGCGATTCCATCAGTCCTTCAGTCATGTTGGCCAACTTCAGTCTGGTTCCCGCTCCCGAGCTGTTCGACCTGTACGGCCTGGTCCTGCCGTTTTTGGTGCCTTCGGAGACCACAGTGTTTTACTTTAATCCCTCGAGTCCCAGCTGCCGTTGGGAGCTACTTCAGAGAAGTCAGTTATATGACCATCCTCAAATGGTCTGGCAGAGAGCGGAAGTCTATTCGAATCTGTACAGCCGGCACAATAGCCACATCTTTGTGTTGGCCTGTCTCTCCAGGACCTTCTACGAATGGCAGTTAAAGAGTCTGGCGACCACTTTGACCCGGATGAGGTCGGTGAGAGTCCTCATCGAGATGGAGGGCGAAGAAAGCTTCTTTTTGGCCTCACAAGTCCTGTCACTCTGCCTGCAGCACAGCATGCTGAATGTAGGGCTTTACTTTCGCTCTTTCAGTGTATTCAGCTACCGGGTTTTTCCGTACTTTAAGCTGATCAAGCAACGTATTTCCGAAGAAACCCAACCTCTAATATTCACCAACCAGCTTGTGGATCTCGGGGGCTATCAGCTGCGCGTTCAACCGGATTTGGCGCCTCCTAACTCCATTCTCTACCGCGATTTGCGGGGCGAGAATCGGATATCCGGCTTTTTGTGGCAGTTTATACTTACCTTCGCTGAAAACTTGGGGGCCGGCATCGAGATCCTATATCCTCCATGGTCAAAACCGAAGGTCTCGACCAACGAATATATGATAGAGTTAACACGGAATGGCAGCTCGGATTTCGGAGTGACCCCCGGCAATATTATGTTCAAGCACGCGGAGAGGTTTCGCGACCATAGCTACCCTTTTATGTACTCCAACTGGTGCACCATGTTGCCGATGGAGAAGCCCCTAGGCACCAACTCTCTCTTCACTCATATTCTGAGCTGCGGATCGGCTACTCTTCTGGCTGCGATGTATCTTGTGTGTTTCCTGGTTCGTCCTGCCCTAATCAGATTGCTGAAAATTATTATCTGCAACAGATTGATGCGCCTCTTCTCGAGGCTTTTTTTTTTGGCTATGGTCTGCGGTTGCTCTGCCCAATTGCTCTCCCTACTGATTTCTCCGCCGATCCGGTCCCGCATCCATAGCTTTGACGACCTCCTGGGCTCCAGCTTAAAGATCTTCGGAATGCGCAACGAGTTCTACTTCCAGGAAGGTGACTTCCGGGCAAAGTACGCGGCGGCTTTCCACCTCACGGACAGTCCCGACGATCTGTTGGACCACCGGAACTACTTCAACACCAGCTGGGCCTATACTATCACCTCTATCAAGTGGCTGGTTATCGAGGCCCAGCAGCGGCACTTCGCCCATCCGGTGTTTCGGTTTTCGGAGGATCTGTGCTTCAGATGGGGCTCTCCCTACAGCCTGCTGATCGCCCAAGAGTCTATCTACCGGGAGCGTCTCCACCATTACATCATTACATGATGGTACACCAGTCCGGGTTGATCGAACATTGGATAACCCGGAGCTTTTACGATATGGTGAAGGCCGGCCGCATAACCATCAAGGACTACAGTCTACCGAGGAGAGTGCAACCGATCCAGCTGCAGGACCTACGGCTGTGCTGGCGAGTCCTTGGAACGCTGCTGCTCATCTCTTTTGCTGCATTCGCCTTGGAGCTGCTGCTGTTCTACACCAACGTGTTTCTCAATAGCTTGTAGTGCTTGGCTTTGGCTGTGTCATTTTCCCCGGCAAATAAAGTAAATGCAAATTGCTCACCAGGAAGACACCGCAGAGACACGACCGTAGCCACGAAATAAGACTCCAAATGCGATGCAAGAAACAAGCCAGAAACCGCAGCAGATCCACCAAATTATGTAAAATCCAGCGCCGAAGAAGTAACACCAACGATTTGTGGGGGAAGGTGTTGTTGTCTGTCTTGCCTTTTGATAGGACAACGCAAAATCCGTCTAAGTCTGAGACCGAGTCAGAGTCTGGGACTGAGTCTGAGGCTGAGCTGCTGGCCCGCTTTGATTAACATAAAGCGAATAATAGACATCGACTGGCAGCAGCGTGAACAAATTTGATTTCACGATTTTGCACTATTTACCCAAAAGAAGCCAACCAACACCTGCAACATTGGCACCAACAAGCTGCACTTTGTATTTTTGACAGCCATAGATGTCTTTTCGCTGCTGTCAATGATGTGTTGCAATATTGCACATCTCAATTACAAATAGTTTTCAGTCATGAAGCTTGCACAAATTTAAATAAACATGTTAATGCGACCCCATGACTTTTTCAAAAATTACTTGATTTACGGGGCTATGAAAGCTTTGAATAAATTTAGATTGGCTTTATCTCTTGCTAGGCAAGCACAAATTGCAAGTTTTTAAGAACATCCTGATTTACACATTTTCCTAACCATTTTTAGTGGTCAGTTTTTAATGTGATTTATGAAGGATTTATATTTGATTTCATTTCTGTTTTTTAATTTAATTTCATTTATTTTAAGTCAATAAATTTGCGGGCTTGGTTATTTATGGTTTGCCAGAACCAATTTGGCATAGTTGAAAATCATTTTACCTTTACCTTGGCCCCGTCTTATGAGTCATAAGCAGTGCCACAATCGCGGCAGAGACTGACCAGGTGTTCAATTAAGCACCGACGTTGACCTTAATACGCAGGCCACCGAAAACGGATTGAAAAAGTGCCAGAATTTCTGACAAATTGTCGCCGAATGTGCGCAGACATCAAGTTTATGGTCAATGCACCGTCGCTGCAACGGCGAAGGATGTCAAAAAATTCTTGGCTTAGAAAGTTGGTAGCATTAAAATGCCGAGAAAATCGTCGATCGTCGATGGTTCCATAGCAATTCCGAGGTGTTAAAATATGCATTAAAATTGCTGATGAAGCGGCGTGTTCGCTGGCAGGATTACCAAATATTTGCGGCTGCCAAAAGTCAAAAGAAATCAATCAAAATGCCACAATCAACAACGACCACAGCAAGGCGCCAAAAGGCACCAAAACGACAGCCAAAGAGAAGAAGTAAGGCGTCAGCGAATTGTTTCGACCGTTTAATACCCACTATTAAGGTAATATATTTTAGGCGTACGTACTCCTTAGTTAACGTTGGATTTGAGTTGGAATATAGTTTCTTTGTAATTAATTTGATTCATAAAACTAATATACCTTTGAAGGTTGTTGTTGATAATCGGTATCAAAACAGTGAAAGACGCCGACAGAAGCGACAGCCTGACGTGTGCCCAAGACGCTTAGTGGCTGCTGCAAACACCAAACTTTTGCCGTAGCAGCCATTGCAACTGCAACTGTTGCATCCAGCATCCAGCTTCAACCAAGCAGCATCCCGGGGCAGACGGACGGCCCCATGTCTCTAAGTGGACAACAAAACGCCTCCAACACTTTTGGGGCGCGAAAAATGTGTTTGCCAAGCCGGATCGGAGTTGCAACTGCAGTTTCCTAGCCAAGTGCTTGCCAGCCGGGGCAAGAGTGCTTGGCTGAATGCCTAATGCTGCAGGGGCGTGCACTCAGGTACACAGATGTATTCGCAAGTGTACATAAAAATAAAATAAATAAGCCAGCGCTGATCTTCATTTGTTGTTGTCGCGCAGTTGACATGAGGACTCAGCATCGGCATCGGCTTTGGCATGGCGTCGTCAGCGTCAGCGTCAGCGTCATCGTCGTCGTCATCTCCATCTCCATGACATATATTTGCATAGTTTTGTCGAGAACAAAATGGCAGCAGGAAAACAAAAAGAAATCCGTTGACAAGTGTCTGTCAGGGACATCGTGCCGCTCAAATTTGCATGTGGTCGCATCTCACGCTTTAGACACGGTCCAAAATAAATTCTGAAGAAAGATGTTTGGGAAGGAAGGAACGCATACAGGGCCGACACATCGAGTACCCTTTAAGATCCAAGACAAGAATTTTATAAAGTGGACTTAGATATGACTGACCTGCTACTTAATTAAACTTATCAAACTCATCATCAACTCATCAAGAATATATATAATTAAAACCATAATATGTGAATATTCTTCAATATTTCCCAGAAAAGATACTGCTCTGGTAAATCGCATAATTTTGGTTATTTCAAATACCTTCTTCAAGGGTATATCGGCAAGCAAAGATCCGACTTGGCTTATATATTTGTGGTAAAGTTGTTGTTGCCGTTTCCTTGTCTTTATTTTTTCCGTCTTGTGTTTTGTGTGTCGATCTCCAGCGCACCTTTATGGTCTATTATACTAACGGGAATGCCCCGAGAGCAACGACAATAATAAGCAAATTGATTGAAATATGCGATATCATGGTAACCGCAGAGCAAACGGAAACGCGCCGGCCGCTCTGGCCGCTCCCTCCCCCACAGCGCCCCTGCACCCCCGCCACTTGCAATTGTGTGGTAGCGCATTAAATGTCGATTTCAGTTTGCACCCGCGGCGCAGATACGCAGCCAGCGATACGGGAAGTACGCAGTGGTGCCGGTGGTGCCGAGTGCCGAATGCTGGGTCACTGCCAATGCCACGCAGAAGGGGTGCGGCCCCGAAAGCCAAGTCCACATCCAGCGACGCCGCCCACCCAGCCGGGCCAGTGGGCAATCTCGGACTCTCGGCCTTTTCCCTCGCTCGTCGGCCGAAGAGTGCTGAATGCCGAATTCCGATACCGATTCCGATGTTAATGTGCTTTAAATAAATCATTAGCGCATTGTTTGGGGCAAAACTATACGGCAATAAAGAGGAATGAGGATTTTGGCCACTGAGATAGCAAGTGTTGCAACCCAGACAGCACTTGTGGGCAGAGCTGCGAGAAAACCAATTTGAACTGAAAATACCTCAAACAAGAAAGAAAGCTAACTTTGGGTAGCGGAAGTTTCTATAACCTTGCAGTTTGCAATTGGATCAGGGAACCGACTTTGAAATCGAACATAGCAAGAGATAATCATTTCTGTGTGGAGTTTTTAAAGAGTTTACAAATTACTGTATTGTAAACTTGCAAAATAAAAACGTTTTAAAATATCTAGGAGAGTACCAAAATAAACTGTCTAGAAACGTAATATGGGTACTTTTACCAACAAAAATATCATATTCCTTAAGCCTAGATCTCAATCAACCAAGAGAGACACGCACTCGGCATGTCAGGGGCCAACAAGCTAAACGCTGCCAAATTGCAGTTGCCACTTGGAGACATGCTCGTAATTAGCATGTGGTAGTCCTCCACCCCGAACTCCGGATCCAGTTGAAAACTGGGTGCGGCTGCCTCATCTCGAGCGATCTCATAAAACAAGTCGATGTGTTTCTGGCCCGAATGATAACTCTTTGGCTCGTGTGCGCGTTCGTCTGGCGATTTTTATTGACTTTTCATTGATTGCCGTCAAACAGCAGAAATAAAAAACAAGCACAAAAAAATAAGCACAGAATTATTTTTGAGTTACCCGCCTGTTTTCTGGCGAATTCGCGTAATTAAAACGCTGTAAAAAGTGGCAAAATGTGTTAACCAGTTTAGGCCGATTTTTTTTTTAGTTTTGTGTTCCCTTGCCGAGCGCCACAATTCACAATTTTTTATTTGTGTGTCAGACCAGCGGTGATGCAATGCCTTTTAATGTCTCCACAGTGTTTTTTTTTAAATTCCTTTTCGCCATATATCTCACTGCCGAGTGCAGCCTAATAGATACTTTCCATTCAGCACATGCAAATGTATGATTTCCTGCCAAGAGCCGAGAAACGCTGGCCACGCCATAAATAGGCAATTTGGCGCTCTGGCCGTTTAACGCCAACGAGCTCGCAACGAATCGAATCGAATCGATTATCGTGCACTTAACACCAACAGCTCTTAACCCGCAACAAGCCAGTACCCTTAAAGGTTTTTCTGCAGCAATTTTTGGAAAATCTCCTCGATCGGAGGCACCAGCACCAGCACCGCTACCAGGCGCAATCAAGGCCAACTCCAGCTCCAGCTCCCAGCCAGGTGATCATCATTGCCGTGGAGCTCCAACTTCGCTCCGTGCTGATTATCAACATGTGCACTGGCTGCTCGGCTCGGCAGCGCCGCATGTGCTTTTGCCCTCGATCCATAGATCAAGATCATAAATAGCAATAAGCCAGCCAGACAATGTCTGCTAACTGTTTCAGGCAATCAATCAATCCATCTGCCGCTGCAGCCAGAGCAGCGTCAGCAGCGGCGCAGCATTTGCGGCGAGTGCTGCCCGTTTGGAAAGTTCATTCAGTTGCGCCGCGGATGCCTCCAGAAAGGGTATATTGGCACCTGGAATGGGTGTCCCTGGAAGCGATAACAGGGTAGCAGCCAGTCCGGCCTGCAATGGCAAGCGGCGGAGCTGCCGCGGAGTCAAAACGTGATCGATTGATTTGCGCGATCGCTGCAACGGCAGAGGCAAGTTCAACGAGCCCGATTGACTGACTGACTGACTGCTGACTAGATAATTGTGGCGTTCTGCGGCTGATGCCACTTTTTGCACTAAACAGCCGGGGCAATGCAGACCGCATTGCTGCATTCCGGCCCGGGCCGGGATCTGTGGGCCAAACTCGCTCGCAAACCAGCTGAAAGCGGCAATCTGTCAGCCTGACAGTTGGCCCAGTCGCAGAACTCTGCCGCTCAGCCGCTCGGCCGCTGTCGGCGCTGCATTTGATGATTGATGATTGTTGAAACGCGAACGAAATTATGATTAAATAAGTAATTGTGGCTAAA